ATTACTTATCAATAACATCCTTATTTTTTTCAATGAAATCTCGATTGGGATTCCAACTTGTTTCTCTTTGAATATTACGAAGTATTCCTTCTGTGGCGAGGGTGACTTTTTTTGGTAATCTGACTTGTAATCAAATGTAAAAATCTCCCCGCACAGACTTGTTAATTCCTAAATAACAACCACGACTACGCAAGGTTAAACAGTCACCATTTTGGCTGCCAGCCGGTAGCGGAATTTTTTCCACCCCTTCCAGGGTAATTACTTCAACCACACTACCCAAAATAGCATCTAAAAAGGAAACCGGCAAGTTAACATGAATGTCGTTATTCTTTCGTTGAAAGTAAGGATTTTCTTTGATTTTTATTGCCACATAAACATCCCCCCGTGCTCCACCATATCAGCCATCATTACCTATTCCTTGATAGCGCAGTTTTTTTTCTGGCTGAATTCCTCGAGGAATATTAAGTTCAATGGTTTCTGTCTGGGTTACGAACTTTCTGCCACCACATCCATGACACTTTTTTTTAATTATTTTTCCTTCACCTTGACAACGAGAACAGGTAACCTGGGTGCGAATTGCTCCCAAAACCGTTCTTTGTATAGTATTAACTGCTCCTCTTCCTTGGCAAGCTGGACATTCAACAATATCACTGCGAGAAGCAGCTCCTGTTTGTTGACAAACACTACAAATCTTTTCCAGTTCCAGAGTTATTTTTTTTTTAACTCCCAATACTGATTCCTTGAAATTTAAAACGACATTAACTAAAATATCACTCCCGGCCTGGGGTCGAGTTCTATCCCCGGCATGGGCTCCACGCCCGGAATAATCAGGACCTCCACCAAAAAAGGTTTCGAAAATATCCTTAAAAAAACCTTCTCCTTGACCAAAGTTGCCTTCGGTGGAACCCTGAGCAAAACCTTCGGAACTGCCATACTGATCATAATTTCGACGTTTTTCGGCGTTACTTAAAACATCGTAGGCCCCATTAATCTCTTTAAATTTTTCCTCGGCTACTTTTTTTTCACTTTCTGGCTTACCCACCCAGCGGTCAGGATGTCACTTCAAAGCCAACTTGCGATAGGATTTTTTGATTTCCTCCTCAGAAGCATCCCGTTTGACTCCCAATATATCATAGTAATCCTTTTTTTTAGCCATTATATAAGTATAAGCACTGGATTACTTTTTATTATCATCCTTTTCTGGCTTGACATCCATTACATCTTCCTCACCATTGTCTTTTTTTTCACTCTTTTCCTTCGGCATTTTTTCGGCTAATTCGTTAGCTAATTTCATCATTTCCTCGACTTCATTTAATTGACTTTTAATAGCTGGATAATCCTTTTTCTCAGTAAC